CCTCACATTTAAAATCATTTCTTACATATCTTTGGCACATTCTAGAAATCGAACATCAGGTTTTCACTGGTAAGAAGATTATAGATTAGGGCTGAGATCGCAAAAAAGGTTAGAATGAAAGAGTTTTTTGGCAGCATATATACACAAAACAAGGCAACACAAGGCATCTTTGATACAATGAATCTCGTGCAGATCTTGTGTCAACGCTGTAGTTCCATACGGAAAATATCAACAGATGTTTCCAGGCATTTTCGTAAATTCGTGTTGAATTTTCCAATTGAAAAACTTTCAGTTTTTTGAAAATAACTTAGACCACGTCCAATTTTCACTAGCCAGCCGTTGTCAAACCTGAAAATGAACATCTTTTAGATTACGGAATCCAAAACAGTTAAGAGTTTAAAAGTCAACACATAACCATAATATTGCACATTTTTTCGCGCTTCCTCAGCTGAAATTGATTTTTTCTCATTTCCACAAATTCAGTGAGTTCCATCACTACCGCACATGATGTACAAATCAGTAGGGGATCTTGCCGTGGATGAGTCAAGCGAGTCAAAAGTCAAAACTCCCTCTGCCTGTGACTGAACGGCGCACTTGAAAGTGACCTGGATTGGAAGCTAAGAATTGCAGGCATCAATTGCTGAATGCTATTGGGGGTTGTTTCTCAAAATCCGCTTCAAAAAAAGGCCCGGCACGAAAGCCCAGCATATCTGTGGGCGAATCAATGAATCAAACAAATTGTTTCTTCCATAGGTGAGGGAATGAGCGCAAATATTACTAATAAATGTTAAAAAATACGTGCCTGAATTCGCGATCATGCAAGTCATCATCGAATTGAACAACCAGCTCCACGCCGAATTTTTCCATGCTCAATTGTAATTGCTTAAGGTGCTCTTCTGCTTCGGAGTTGTAACGCGTGCGCAAACGTATTTTTCTCAAATTCGGTGCTTTCTCGATGAAAAATTCGCAAAACATCATGAAATTCTGGACCTGAATTAAACAAATGACAC